GCGAGCACGCTACCACTTGAGCCACATCCCCAGCCCCTCCCATTCTTCTTTTAAAGGATATTTGTGAAGGGTGTTCATGGAAAGATCTGTGAGGATGACAGCAATCTGGTGATCACAAGAATGTTTATAATCTTTCTTGGTGTCTTTAGGCTGTTGTAATCTTCATTATCTTATCAAGCTAGCCATTGGAAAGTATATTACAGGTTTCTTAAATTATAAAATACACTTCTCCCTTTCTCCCTCCCTCTCCCTCCCCTCCACCCAGTACTGGGACACCTGGGGGTGCTTTACCACTGAACTACATCCCCAGTCTTTTTTATTTTGAGACAGCTCTCATTAAGTTGTTTAGGGACTCACTAAGTTGCTGAAGCTGGCTTTGAACCTGTGATCTTCCTGCTTTAGCCTCCCAAGTTGCTGGATTCCAGGTGTGTGCCACTTTGGTGGCACATTTTGTGTTAGAGGAAAAAAGAGGAGGCCTGCCAAGACAATGCAGAACAGGAGTCCTGTATTTTTCTCCAAAACCAGGCTTTTGCCCTGTGGAGAAGGCTCTGGAAGTACAGAAAAGGTCTGAGTTAGGGAGAATGAGTTTTAGGAAAGAAGGCAACGCCCATTTTGACATTGATAACCAAGACAGAATGGTTACTGGTTTGACCTGTGTGTATCATGTGTCTGTGACTGTGTCATCCACTACTTTGGATCCTCAGGAGCTCACCTCTGCCCACAAAATAAGGTTTTGTGCTAGTAATAAAGTTATAGGGGAAGCATGAGAGTTGGAATAAGGAAAAATTTTGTCACTGTCAAGTTAGAATTTACAATCATGATTTGTTTACAATAGAATTTATGACTTAGTTGATTAGAGCTTTAGTATAGAAGTGAAAGTACAGAATATGCTCTGGAGATGGAGGTTGGTGCTATAAATATTCCTGTATAAAAAGAGTACATGATACTGTGGCAGTTATAAATTTTCATTTTGATTCTTCAACTCAAGAGAACAACAACAACAATAAAAAAGCTATCTTAAGCTATAAGTTGTCAATGGCAAGAATTAATAAAAATCAGTCCCCTTCAGGCCTTCTCAAGTCTGATACTGTAGGCAATGAATTGTTCCTATGCATTTCAGGATTGGGAGTGCAAATCTATGCCTGGAAAACATTTTCTAGTTCACTACCATTAATCTGGTGTTGTGACACTTAAGCAGGAAGTACTGAGGTCCTCTTACCCATATAGCACATGATCCAGGGACACTACTGACCCAGAGGAATAGTTCAATGATGTTTTGTGCCAGATTTTAATGGTAACCTCAGCCACACTTGTGGAAAGGTAACATGAACTTGAATAGAACATAATTTAGCATTAAATGATGTGTCTGTTTCAGCATCCATTCCATTGTCCTTTATTAACATGAAAAATTTAGAGGCACTTCCACTGGAGAAAAAAAGCTACCTCTGATTAATCATTTGAGAATATTTTCTTTTTCATTTCATTTCTTTTTTTTTATATTTATTTATTTTTATGTGGTGCTGAGGATCAAACTCAGTGCCTCACGTGTACGAAGCAGGTGCTCTACCACTGAGCTTCAGCCCTCATTTCTTTTCTTTTTTTCTCATAGGGCTGCAGATCAAACCCAGGGCCTCAAGCATGCTAGGCTGTGTCATCCACCAGTGAGCCACTTCTACCCCCAAAATGTTTTCTTTTTTTTTAAATAATATTTATTTATTTATTTTTAAAGTTTTCAGTGGACACAACATCTTTGTTTGTATGTGGTGCTGAGGATCGAACCAGGGCCGCACGCATGCCAGGCGAGCGCGCTACCACTTGAGCCACATCCCCAGCCCTTTTCCCAAAATGTTTTCATTCGATTTTTCTAACTGGGTTTGTTTCCCTTTCCAGCAGAGATCACCACCATTCCCAAGGCTCTGGTGGGCTGTACCTCTCAAGTGACAATGGTCAAACCAGCACTCTGACTTGGATTCGAACTTTGTTTTTGTTCTGGGGACCCTCCTTCAACAAAAAGAACAAATTGCCCCCAAAATTATGATAGCTAAAAGTTAAGAGCTTCTATGTAAAGAAGTCTATAGATTGACAAACATAATTAAAGCTCAAAATGATCAAAGAGGCAGAAGACCTGAACAGGCACTTCATAAGAGAAGAAATATGGGTGGTATACAACCACTTAGCAAATGTTGAACTTGAATAATTATTTTTTAAAAATTTCAATGATATGTGATTTATCACAAGGACATGACAATATTCAATATTGCATAAGTTGAAACAAGTATTCTTTAAAATGCTGGTTGCAGGGGCTGGGGCTATAGATCAGTGGCAGAGCGCTTGTCTAGCACGTGTGAGGCACTGAGTTCAATCCTTCGTACCACATAAAAAAATGAATAAAATGAAGGCATGATGTCCATCTACAACTACAAAAAGTTTTTTTAAATGCTGGTAGCAACACAAATTTATTCACAAACACATTTGTCACAATATTATTTATGATATTAAATAATAATGTAATAAAACATAATATAAATAATAAACAAAAATGATAGATTAGGATTTAACTATACCATATATTGCAATATATATTGAATATGTATATATATCTACATACTATATATTTTATGTATATAATATACACCAATAACAATATTTTTCAATGGGCTGAGGGTGAAGATCAGTGGTAGAGTGCTTGCGTAGCATGCAGGGGGCCCTGGTTTTGATCATTAGCACTCCAAAAAAGATTATTGTTTAAGAAGCATCTCTAATGACATTAGAATATGCTCATGTTATAATGTTCACATATAACTATGCAAAAATATATTTATTTTTGTCGTGATCTCAACAATGTATAATATTATAATAAAAGGAAAAAAGTATCAAGCTGAGATACTGATTCTGAAATTTAATGAGATGCCAGGTAACCTTAGGCAATTCACTTTATTCAGTGAGTTTCAATTCTCTCATCTGTAAACAAGAACACTAATATTTGTACAGGAAGCTGTTGCCAATATTCACTGAGGTATTAAGTTTGTCAGTCCTGTATTGGACACATAATAAGTTGCAAATGTTATTATTTCATTTTTATCCAGACTTCTTCATTTTTGTAAGCAAAGTGTTTATGATTGTACCCTGAATGTATTTTGCAGCCTTAATTCCACTTCCCTCTTAGTATAACTTGTGCCTTCATCAAGCTACACTTGCACAGATTTCTACACTTGATCTTAGCCACAAGTTCAAGAAGCAAATAACTCCTACTGGTTTCTAAACATACTTCTAAAGTTTTCTTCCACTCCTCTCTCACTATCAAAATGTTACTCAGAATCCAGCAATTCACTCCTAAGTATATACTCAAGAGAAGGGAAAACAAATGTAGACACACACACACACACACACACACACACACACACAAACATACACCCCCCCCCAAAAAAAAAGAGAGAAGAAGAAGAAACTTATATTTTTTCACAACAGCCCAAAGGGAAGACAGTGGAGACATCTATGCACTAATGGGTAAATTAGAAGAGGTGTATCCACATAATGGAATATTATGTAGCACTAAAAAGGAATGAAGTACTAGCATATGCTACAACATACATGAACCTTGAAAACAGAATGCTAAATGAAAGAAGCCAGTTGCAAGGGACCATATAGTACATGATTCTTTTTATATGAAATGTCTAGTATAAGCACATTTATAGAGACA